AGGATTGTATTCCAGTGAAACACTAGCCTTGCTACACAACTTAGTGAAAAGAAGTTGCTTTTTCCCAAATAAATGAAGTGCAGGGCTGCTGTTGCTACTCAATAGTAGCATTGGGTTTAGCCTCTCTCTTGCTCAGGAGGTGATTTTCATGTTGCCCACCAGAGAGGGCCTCCATACTCAATTAAGCCCATATTCTAGGAAGGAAGAAGAAAGGCAAAAGAGACGTACCCTAGTTTTCTGTTTCATTGGGAAAGCAATAGATTTGTTTTTAGCTGTAACCAGGAAATTTTGCATATAGATTTATTGGCCACAAGGTTGCTTGGTTACCATTAGTGGTATTGGAGGCATCTCCAAGCAAAACTGTTAAGGAAGAAAGGAAAGTATCCAGTTAGCACTGTTTGCCTTGAGCTTGGTGGCACAGTTTGAAGCTAGTTGAATTCAAAACTATAAGTAAAATTTGGAAGCAGAAGCAGCCCTGTCATTTTGAATAAAGAATTGACTGGAACAAATGTTTGCCTGTTGGTGGTTCTTGCTGTGTAAGATAGGTGTATCTAACTCTAGTTTTAGAGCGTAGATTAAACGTAGTAATGAGAAGGGCATTGGAAAAGCAGTGGACACAGTCTGTTGAGTAAGCGACGTGACAGGTTAGTGAATTTTGGAGGAGCCTAAAATGATGAGGATAACAACTTGGGATGAAGTTCACTTTTATCTGTGATGTTGCCTGATCACAGTGTTCTCTAAAATTATCTTCCAACATTTGCTGAATTTATCTGACGTTCTTCCATATCTTACTTGGCAGGTTCTTGCTCCTTAGCATATTGTGAAGTTTTCATGTTATGTTTCATTAATAGGAAATATTTCTCTTCCTTTATACATTTGGTGGATTTCTCAAAAATATACTTATGCTGCTAGGTAAGGTGCCTGTAATCTCAGCACTTGGGAGGCAGAGGCAAGAGGATTGCCATGATTTCAAGACCAGCCTAGGCTACATAGTGATTTGAGGCCAGTCTGAAATATATAGTGAGAGCCTGTCTCAAAAACACAAGATAGCAAAACAAAACAAAACGAAAAAAACCACTTGTACTCTCTGTACTATTTTTTAAAAAATTCATTACAAAAATATATTTACTTTCTATGCCTTTCTCAACTTCAATTTAAAAAAAAAATTATTACTTGAACCTTTTTTTTTTTTTTGAGACAGGGTCTCGCTATGCAGTTCAGGCTGACCTTGAGCTCACTCTGTAGCCCAGGCTGGCCTTGAACTCACAACAATCCTCCTGTCTCAGCCTCCTGAGTGCTGGGATTACAGGCATGCACCACTACACCTGGCTTACTTAAACTATTAAGAAGAGTAAATTCTACATTGGTTGAATTGTCCTTCTGAGAATTTCATTGTTTCTGAAGAAGCTACTCTATTCTTTGCCATGCAGGAAAGATAAAGTCTGTGTAATTGCTATGTTAGAAAACCTTGTGAAAGATTTCAGAGGTAAGAATTTCAAAGAGGGAACAAAGCCAAAGATCTGCTTGATATATTGTCCTTAAATGAAAGTACATCTTTGTCTTTATTCCTTTGTCTTTATTTTTTTCTTTTCTTTTTTTTTTTTTAATCTTTTTCGTTTTTATCAGTACCAGGGATTGAACTCACGACTGCCTGCTTGCAAGGCAGGTGCTTATGCCGCTGAGCTAAATCCCTAGCCCGTCTTTATTTTTTTCAAATTAGCCAAACTCAGAGGGCCTGCTGAATTTATAAACTGTAAAGCTTTCTGTTAATCACCCTCAAAAGACAAAAAACTGTTTCCCCCAAAGGGTGATTCTTTCTTAAATTTTGACCCGTGAGGTACAACTGCTGTATAATTAGAGAAAATGAATGGTAGGGGTTTACTTACAAAACTTAACTTTTAGAAACTCAATCATATACATATTAGGAGTCCACTAGGTGGAGTAGTTTTGTAATGTTTACTTCACTACTCTCTGGCTCTGGAAAGCCTTTTAATTTATATCCCCAATACCTTCAGAATTTTAGCAGAGATGACTAGCTCCTTACTGTTGTATCTTTTGGAAGTTCAGAAAGACTTAAATATAGTGGCCCTGCTTTTGTGGAAGCAGTAGTGTTTCACTGAGGGTTTGTGTTTTATAGATAACAGGCCTGGGAGAAGTCAGTAAGTGGTGATTTGAGAGTAAAGGAAAAAGTTGGAAGAATAGAGTGACTGATAGGATATGTGCTGAGATAGTGCTGGCAGGGTCTTGCCCCTTTATGGACTCTGTAGTGCTTGTTACGGATTGTCACTGGACTCTTGGGGTGTAGACAAGTCCAAGACAAGCTAAGAAATGAAGGAGGAGAAGTGCAAAAGAAAAGGCATTCGATGTTAGGACCAATTCAGTTCCCCTTGTGTTGTTAAGGAAAGAGAATTCAGGGAGAAACGTGACTTAACAGGTAAAAATACAGAGAAACTGACTGAAAAGACCCCTTGTCACAAGCTTGACAACTTTATGATATCTATTCTTTAATAGGCATTGCACTATTTTTTCTGTGTATTGTTGTGCAATATAAGACATAATTTATGATTTTTTTCAGTGTTTTTGTTATTTCCAGTGTATGATAGGAACTTGGACTACATCCTTCACCATAGCTCTTTACTTTTCTTTATTTTTGTATCTCAGTGTGTTGGTGAAGTGAGGCTTCCTGACTGTTGTTTGTGTCTGTAGCCAGATTTTGTGTTTCTGATTTCGTGTTTGGGGTGAATAATTTGTCTTTTAGTATCTTTATTTTCTCTAGTTCTGAGTTGCTGAATTTTGTGTAAATTTTTGGAAGAGGATCTGATTCATTTCAGAACTGAAAAACAAGATCTCTTATCTTTGGAATAGATATTGGAAGCTTCCTTACTAAGAATTTGATACTTTAATGTACTAGAAAAAGAAAGCTATTTGAAAAGGTTCCCTCCAGAGAAGTTTCTGTAACGCTTTTTATGCCCTACTTAGAGAATTCTTTCTGATATCTTACCTAAAGCCCACTTGCTATAACAAATGTTTAAATTCTTTATCATGAAAAGTACATGTTTAACATTAGTTTACTTGTACATGGTACACCAAATTACCCAGTATTATTGTTTAACATGCGGCCCACCATGTTAACAGTCTACAACATTCAGAACAAAAGTAGGAAGAAATATAGTGGGCAGAATAAGTGAATTTGAGAGCAGTGGTGAATATGGGGTAGCTTTGAGTTTCGTGCCTAACCACAGTGGACACTTTGCAAATTATCACCATTTTTCTCATCATTTCTGCTTCTACATGTATATTGTGCTTTTAGATTGAAAACAGCTGGATACCATCTTCCCTGTAAAATTATTTTATTGTCACTTCTCATGCTATTTTAGAAGCTGCAAATAAATAGTTCCTTTTATCTTTCTTCAGAGGTTTTATTTTTTACCCTCTTAATCATCTTTGAGTCTCTTCTGAATCCTTTCCAATTTGTTTTTTTTCTCAGTGTTGCTTTTCAACCATGAGAATGCCATGAGACTATCTGGCCATTTTTTAGTATTACAGGAAGAATATTTCACACCTGTACAAGTGCCAACGCCCACTTCACAGAACTTTAGACTGTTTGCTTTTCAAAAGTGTAGTCACATGTTGCAGACCGGCTGTCAGATTTTTATCTCTAATGACCTTGATCTTTTCTGCTTGCATTTATTTATAGCTTGTACACTCATCATCTTTTATTTATGGAGGTTATTTTTCTTGGCTGGGGATGTCACTTTACACTGTCATTGAAATTTATTGCCTTTTCTGATTACTTCACCACTTAACCCAATGTCATTTCCATTCCTGTTATCCAGTATGGCAAACCATAGGCTTCTTATTCTCTGGGCTATTCAAACCAGGAATGCAGGTGTTTAAAAAAGAAAAAAATAGAGAACTGTTTTACAAACAATGACAACACAATTTGCTGATGTTTCTCGAAATTTTCTCCAATGAGTTTTCAGACTGAGTGTCCGAGTTGAGAGCTGTCTGTGTTCCCTCCTTCCATGGCTTTTATACTTTAAGGATCTGTCTCCCTCACCATCATTTTGGGGCCCACATCTCCACACAGCTGCCCCAGAAGCAAAGAAAGTAATTTATCTTGCACACTGCTGTCAGATTTAATCTGATCAAGACCTTATACATATTCCTATTCACAACTTCCTGTCACTTGATGAATTAAATATAAACATTCAGATCAATTCAAGAGACATTTTGACCTATGTCTCACTTTCTGGTCCAGTTACTTATAACTGTATCATGTTTCATAAAAAATTATTCTCTGGATATGTCTCATACTTTATGAGATCTTGGTTTATTTGCTTTGTTTGCTGCACTTCAGATACCTTGAAATTTTTCTTCTGCTTGCTGTTTTAACATCATTTAGAACCAATTTCTTTAATGTTCCATTCTTTCTAGATTTCTTCATTTTGATACAACTTTGCCTTCTCATCCCTTAAATCTTTATAGTCTTGATTTTGTCTTAAGTCATAGCTGTTTGTGTGATTTTTCTATCTTTTCTAATAGACTGTATTTTTTTTGGAACTGTTTTTTCCAAAAAAAAAGGAATTATCTCTTCCTCATCTTGCTAACTTTGAAAATACCTAGCATATATTTGCATAAGTGATTGAATATATGTAATGTTTTTCTTAGAGTATTTGTGGGAGAGCATACTAAATAGACAAATTGGATTAGTTTGAGCACACTATGTAATATAGTGCATTCAATTTAAATTCTAGCATTAGCTACTTACCTAGTTCCACCCTGGTAACAAGATTTCTAGAGCAGCAGCTGGTCTATACTTTTGGTAGTATTGTTATATCCTATGTTTTTCTCTCTCAGCAAAATTCTAGATGCAATTAAAGGTTTATAATGATTTACTGTTAGTTACTGGACAAAAATGTCCAGGTTCAGGACCTGCTTTATTTGCTTACATTTATACTTTGGAAGTCTTTTTCTACTAAATTTTTATTATTTTCTAGAAACTACCCAACTTTGGCCAATATTGAAAGGAAGAAAAAGTTAAAACTTGAGAAGGAAAAGAGAGGAGAAGTATTGACAACAACGCAGTATGGGTATGTTCCTCAAAATTGCTTGTATTCTTAGTGTTCATTTTAACTGAGTGTACTTCTAAGTAATAACGAGCAGAAACTAAAATCATTACAATCCTAATTCTGAAATCTTTGCTTTTTACCTTGTTTCCTTTTTAAAAATGTAACTAATTCTGTCTTCCTTACTTTTCTCTCATTGTTGAGACAAAATACCTGATGCCCAAAATGAAGAAAGGAAAACTTTATGTAGCTTACAGTTTTTGGAGGTTTCAGTTCATACTCAGCTAGTTCCAAGGTAGGGTGGTCTTGCTGAGGGGCAGCCATTCATGGCAGCTGTAAACAAGAAGAGCAAAATGGGGAAAGTACGCCTTCATCCTTCCCTTACATTATCTGCTGGCCACTCACTCCTGGGCGGATGCAGCACTCACGCTGCCAAGCCCAGCACTGGACGCAGAGCTAATCACAAACACGAGGCTCATCTGCCTCCACGACTGCGTGAGGCTTGGGGGCCATCCAAACACAAACCATAGCAACATCTAAAAATAGCGTTAACTATATTGATTTGATTTTTAAAAGATGTATAGTAAACAAGAACTGTCTTTTTCTAAGCTTTTTCCTTCTAGAGTAATCCATTTTATCCTCCTGGAGAACTTTTGTCTGTGTAGCACATAGATGATAGTTACAGTAACTTTTCTTTGTGTTTTGAACACCATTAACCTTTTTTAGACTTTGAAAATTTTACTTAGAGATTGTTTCATATTAACATATAACAAACCCCATCCTTTAAAGATATGTAGGAAGCTTAAGGATGCCTCACAAAGTTTTTTGTTTTTACTGGTTTCCTATTGACAGACATATGTGTTCTTACAAGTCTTTTACTAATAAAAAGTTGCCATTATTTCCCTTGTATATCAAAATACTTGGGGCTGGGGATTTAGCTCAGCGGCATAAGCACCTGCCTTGCAAGCAAGCGGTTGTGAATTCGATCCCTGGTACCGATAAAAAGGAAAAAGGCAAAAAAAAAAAATACTTTATGCAGGTATTTCTGTGGATAGGTTATTAGAAATGGTTTTGTTGAGTCAAACAGCATATGAATTTGTAATGTCACTAGATGCTGCCAAATACCAATCCTAGAAACTGAACCAGTTTGCTTTCCTACCAGCAGTGTATGAGATACTGTGTCTTCTGCTTTCAGTTTTCATTGAATGTTTCCATTTTATTTACAGACTTTTTAATGTAATGAAAATGTACTAATCTTAAGTGAACAGGGTATATATGTACATGTTCATGAACACTTGTGCATTTGTATAACTTCTGTGCAGATTAATATACAGAATCTCTTTACCTCACAAAGCTCTTTTAAGCCTTCCCCCGTTCAGTGCCTCCCTACAAAGATAATTTGATTTCTGATTTTAGATTTCTTTTGCCCATTCTTGTAACTTTCTATAAATGACACAATATACTATGTATTCTTGGGTGTGTGATTTCTGTAGCTCAAAATTATTTTGTGAGATATATTATATTTAGAGAGAGAGATATATATTAGAGACAAGTAGGGATATTTTGTAATGTTAAAAGGGTCACTAGAATAAGAAAACATAATAATCATATCTGTATATGCCTAATAACATAACTTTAAAAAAAATTATTGACTGCCTCAAAGAAGAACTAAATAAATTGAAAGTTAAAGGTTTTAATATATTTCTTTCTATAACTATTATAATATGTAATATTAGAGAAAATTTTTTAAAAGGAGATTTGAACACCAAAAAACCTAGCCTCTAGTATTAGTATACCTAATAACTAACAGATACACATTTTACCAAAAAGATGATAAAATAAGTAACAAATTTAGAAGGACTGAAATAATATAAAACAATTCATTTTGACCAAGTGTAAAGTCAACCAGAAATCAGAAACAGAAAGAAAAATATAAATACCTTAATAGCAACACATTTAAAATACAAATTACTAAAACTGACTTGAGAGATTAAAAATTAGAATTTCTCTAATAGATAGTTATCTGTTAGGAAAATAGAATCTATAATTAAGTACTGTCATATAAAAGAATTCAACTATCTGTGGGTTTAGTGTTAAATTCTTCCAACATTCACAGACCAGATACAAGTCTTATAAAAACTCTTCAGTGGCCAGGTGTGGTAGTACACACCTGTAATCCCAGAGGCAGAAGGATCACCGAAGTTCATGGCCAGTGTGGGTTACATAGTGAGTCCAAGACCAGTCTGAACTACATTGTGAGACCCTGTTGCAAAAACAAAACAAAACAAGAAAACCCCACAAAACAACTGAGCAACTCATTTTAATGGTTCAGTAATCTTGATACCAAAACCTCATCAGGACATTACAGTAATAGAAAACTAATAAAATTCAACATGTATTCCTAAAAAACTCTTAGTAAATGAAGAATAGAAAATATTTTCTTTTCTTTAATAAAGAGTATCTATCAATACCCTATCCCCAAATCATTCTTAATAATGAAATACTGGTGACCTTGCCTCTGACATTGGGAATAAGGTAGGAATATTCACTATAACTGCATTTATAAATTAATTTACCAAATATGTATAATACCAATATTTTAAAAATCAGTTGTATTGTTATGAACTAGTAACATATAACTGTAGATTGAAATTTAAAAAAACCCATTTACATCTTATAAAAAAATACCAAATACCTAGGAAACCATACCTGATTTGCCTGTGGTAACTCAGTTGAGTTCTTAGCTTGACATCTGCGAGTGGATATTGGAGACTGGTTTATGACAGTTGAAGCTTTTGGCAAAATTGGTGATCTTCCTATAAAGTAGATATAGTAGTTATTATCTGTCTACTCTTTTTTTCAAAGAGTTGTCATGAGGGTCAAACAAAGTGGCATATTTGTAAATGCTTCAGAAACTTTAAGTCTTCTTATAAATAAGTACACAAGAATGAATTTGCTTTACAAGCTCTAACAAACATTTTTATGCATAATGGGAATGATAGAATACTGTCAAGCTGATCTATGATGATTGCACAAAATAGCTCAATTTCAGACTAAAGATGGAGGTGAAAATGTGTAATTAGGATGAATAAATGGGGCGTTTATAGGGTATCATCCCTTTAAATTTCTAGCGTAGGTTTTTTGTTTTTGAGTCTACTGGATTTCATTTATTGTGACTGCTTTAATGTACTAGTGTATGAGTGATCCATTTAGCACTTTTTTTCTTTTACGTTCAGTAGTTTTTTTCAAATTACTCTTGAAAGATCAGTGTCTTTTTTTTTACTAAGAATTGCATTTTTCTTACTGCAGCAAGATGAAAGGAATGTCCAGACATTCACAAATGGCAAAGATCAGAAGTCCCGGCAAGCATCACAAGTGGAAAAATGATGGTGCTGAGCAGAGCCCAGGCGGTCACCGCTGTGCTTCCACGATGGGGAGTGCACCTGAGGCCAACGCAGACCCTCTCGGTGCTCTGATGAACAGCGAGTCTGGTAGGCCGAGTGCTGCGGATGAGCATGAACTCTTTGGACAAATGGCTTTCATTGTATTTACATAATAGTATTTTTCCTCAAAGGCTAGAATACATTTATACTTGTTTAATGTGAAATTCCTTTTAGATTTATAGGACAAGTTTGCTCTTGTATATAAGGCAAAAAATGAAAGCATCAAAACACTGCCATCATATGTAGATATCATTCAACCTCTGAGACTCCATTTTCTCTTCAGAAAAAGAGAATGTGTCTGTAAATATTTCCAGTGCCATTCTGAGGCTTTTATCTAAGTATATGTGCTTCGCACTGCTTAGGAATACCCAAAGATTTTTAATGAGAGGATTTTAATCTCTGTTCAGTTTAGATGACAGTTGCTTCTATGATAATCACATGACAAGTTATTGAACAGATGGCAAGAAATGCGGGGGTTAACTAATTCATTGACTAAATTAGGATAGAAAAGAATCTTGGCATAAGGGAATGTTGGGTTAGTATAGTACAATAAAATTTGACGGATAGTAATACTACTAAATAATCTTGACACCAACTAACACTTACTGAGTAAGGTACTACTGTGTTCCATATGCTTTGTGTGTTAATTGATTTCTTCCTAATGGCCTTTTATATAAATACTATTATAGCTCCTCCTTTAGAAAGGAGAACCACAGAGGTCAAAAAGTTTTCCTTATATTGCTGATGAGAGATAGAACAAGAATTTGAACTTAGTGCCATATATGTTCTCAAATGTGAAGTCTGAATTTGTCTAAAAAGTATATAAATTTAGGACAATTGACATGAGAGAGAGAGTTTAGAAAAGGAACCTTGGTACCTTTTCAGAGGGGAAGGAAAAGTGAGTGACGTTTGGAGCCAGTATTGCAGTTACTCTTGGTCACTGCCCTTTTTTAGCTTCAGAAATTTTTAGAGCCCATACGCTTCCTCATATTTACAGTGTATGACCTTAGTGACAAAATATCATCTGTACTCCAAACATAAGCTTTCATGTTTTTAAAGTACATACTTAAAACGTAAATGTGAAGACTTCATTACCGTTGGTGAGGTATAAGCCTAAAATTGATATCCTTCACTTCGTGGTTATTTTTTCTAAATGAAAATTTGAAGGGCTGTAATATTGAATAGTTTATGTTGCTTTACTTTGATACATGGCCAGTTCTGGTTTTTTTTTTTTGTTGTTGTTGTTTTTTGTTTTTTGGGAGATTGCACCCAGGGCCTCACAATATAGGCAGTGAGTTACATCCCCAGCCTGTTTTGTTTAAGTGTTTCAGTATATGCCAACCTAGTAAAACAAGAACTAAAAGATTATAACTTCTATTTAGACTGGTATTTAAGTCCTCAGAAGACACTTAGACATGAGAAGAATTGGTAGATCCATCTTATCCTTATTAATAGCAAGTATTCACTTGGATTTCCAGGAACAGTTGAATGAGAGGTTTTGTTTTCTTTCTTCCTTTCTTTTTCTTTCTCTTCTTCTTTCTTCTTCTTCCTCTTTCCTTCTTCTTTCTTCTTTTTTTTTTTGTACAGCAATCAAACTCTGGGCTTCACGTTTGCTTGGCAGGTGCTGCACCACAGAGCTGTATCATCAACACTGAATGAAAGATTTTAAATAATTATGTTTTAAACCAAAACATAATGGTTTTAAATGTTGTAGCCCTTACCTACAACGAGGGCCAAGAATCAGAACATGTCTGCTTTGTACCTCAGAGATGAGACTATTAGTCTGGAATACAGAAATCTAGCAAGATCTTGGGGGTGGGAGGAGAGAAACAAATAACAGGGCTGAGCACTAAAACACCACAGGATCAGAGAGTTGAGTCTTTCAGCACTGCAACTTCCAGAGGAGGAGCTTAAGTTGATCACCAGTGCCCAGGAATTAATCCATTGTGCCTGTGTAGTGAAGCTTCCGTAAAATCTAAGGGACAGAGTTCAGAGATCTTCCAGGTGGTGGAACATGTGAACGTTCTTAGCAATCCCAAAGAGGTTATGGATGTTCCCTGCCCCACCTTTCCTTACCTCACCCCCTGCATATGTAAATGTGTCTGTAAATATTTCCAATACCATTCTGAGGCTTTTATCTATGCTTCACACACTGTTTAAGAATACCCAAAGATGCATCCCTGCCTAATGTTCTTTATAACTAATACTTTTTTTTTAAGAATCTGTTGTTAATATAATGCTAAAAAATGAACAAAGAGACTCATAATTTAGTAATTATTTGGTCATTGCATTAGATTATGTTTTTGTTTTGATCAGCAGTAATGTGTGTATGTGTGAGAGAGAGAGAGCGTGCATGAGTGCAAGAGCAGTCCAGTGTAGTGAGCTTTGTGACTCTCCCAGTGACAAATGTATCTAACATGGAAAGCCCAGATTCCAAATACTATTCACTAGTCAAACCAGTGCCTCTTCGAGAAATGGCTGATTATAGGGTTGGAACTGAGAAAATACAAGGTAAGCCTAGAGCTTCATAATACCAGAAAATTCTCAAAAAAAACTCAATGATGTTGGCATGTCAAAAGGGTATTATAAAGAATTTCCAATGACCAAAGTTAGAAATATTTGAATCACAAATCAAATAATAAATAAACAAGTATGAGTGAAGAGGAATGAATTTTACAGATGAATTCAAGTGAATACATGTAGAAGCAATTAGAAAAATAGAAATTCCTTATTAGAATACCCTAGTAATAATTGTTTTAGATAAGATCCCCTGACAGAGGGAAAAATTAAAGATAAAACATTAAGTCAAAACAGTATCTTACATAGCCTCAAAATATCTCCTCCCAAAACGTTTTTAAATTACTAATGTGATTTTAACATTTGTCGGTTTTTTGATACTTCTTATTTGAGTTACAGATTAATTCTCCCAAGGAGTCATGACAACTAAACCCTGGTATGGTGGATTAGATCCTGAAACAGAAGGAGAGTAATGGGGAAAACTGGGTGTAATAGAAATAGTCTGTAGGTCAGATACAGTATAGTAGTAATGTTAATTTGCCAGTTACCATAGATAATGTGCTTGAGTTACATAAGAGGTTAACATTAGGGAGGCTGTGTAAAGGGTATGTGGTGATGTTGTGTGGTATTTTTGTAGTGCTTGTGTAAATGCCAAATTGTTTTAGGATACAAAGTTAAAAACAAAAAGAAAGAAGAAAATGGCTGTGTAGGCCAATTAAGGTCTTGCCTTATCCTTCTTGAGTTGCATTATGAGGAGCACTATTCTCCAGGGTTTATTTCCCTTTGCTTTTCTATTTTCTATTACATTTTTTTGTACCGGAGATCGAACTCAAGACCTCACGCTTGGCAGGCAGGTGTTTATGCTGCTGAGCTGATTCCCTAGTCCCCTTCTATTACTTTCTGATCACAAAGGTAATAGAGAATATATGAGGAAAAAACTGAAAAGCACAAAGTTAAGAAATCGTAAACATGCATCATGGTTTTTTTAAATAAAAAAGGAATCATGTTGTATAGCATTGAAAAAGATGTGCTTTGGCTCTAGGTTCTTCTGAGCTAGTTATTTGGGATGTGTCATATTTGGACAATAGTTTGTTCTTTAGATATTTTTTAGCACTGTTCTAGTTTCTAATGCAACATTGAACAGAACCAGATAAACTTGGAGGAAAAATAATTTCACTGTTGTGGTGGGCCTGAAAACTAGATTAGATTCTGGAGTGAGTTAGACAAGTGAAGAAATCTAAGGCCCAGATGATTCGTCTGGTAAGCTTTATCAAACAGCTATTTGGAATTTTGCTATGAAAGAGAAAAAAGAAATGGAGCTATCACTGGAAGAAGACATTATTCACATTACTGTTGATAAAGTGATTCATTTAAAAAAGACTTTATATAATCTGTGGGAAATATTGTAGCTCACTAGTTAAGAACTGTGGCGTGACAAGTGGCACACACTTGTAATCCTGGCTACACAGGAGGCCAAGGCAGGAGGATAACAAATGGAAGGCCAACCTGGGCAATTTAATGAGACCTTGTTTCAAACTTAAAAGAGCTGAGATGTAACTTAGTGTTAGAGCACTTGCCTAGCATGTACAAGGCCCTCAGTTCAGTCCCTAGGAACACACACACACACACACACACACACACACACACACACACACACACGAAGGAGGGGGAATTGGGATTTTAAGTCATTTGATAAGACTTAGATTTGACCCAACTGCAGTTTGTGGCTGAAAACCCACAGGGTGATTCTTAAGGATTAAGTGAGATATCGTACTTTTTGAAACATTTCTTTAGGTCTTACAGGGAGACACTACTGTTGGGCCTTTGACTTTTCAAACGATTTAACAGTCTTTATACTAACACAGTGGTAGATTTCTGCTTAATTCATGCATAATATACATATATAACTGCATATTTTTCTTGCCTTTCTTTATCCAAGAGAAAAGGTAATAATATGGCCTAAAATTAGCAAAGAACAATGTTAGGGAGTGTAGTGGTGGGTAGGTGGGAGGAGTGAGAGGATATGTCTTCGTCTGACAACAAGTGCTAGGTCAAGTCATGAGGGAGAGTCCTATCTTCTTGTAGCATGTCTTAGTTTCCTCTAGATTTTAGAAGTGAACTTTAAATGCTCAGTTTTAAAACATTTTATATTAGTTGTGGGTTGAATTGTTTCATTAAATAGACAAATTACTTACATTATCTTCTATCAGGCTTTATTTTTACAGGTTATGTAGAATAGAGTTAATGGGTTTAGAGCTGCCAAAAATAAATGTAACAGGTGGTGTCCTGAGGCCAGTGCTGGGCTTGCTGGGCTCTGATCAAACACCTTACCTTCTGGCGGACCCTTTGGTACTTGCTAAATTCCTATGTCTGGCTTATTTACTGAAGTTCTTAGAAGTTCTAAATAATAAAAATCTGAGGCAAATTCATTTCTGTAAAATTCATTGATTAAGGCCAACAAAAGGAGTGTGCACTTTTGTATTTATTCCTGAATCTAATTTTCAGAGTTAATGATCCTAATCTAGTAAAGTTAAATTTTGGCCTCTCCGCTACCTGTAGATTAATAGCAGGGACTGTAACTAGTTTGAGGAAGGCCCACATTCCATCCCTGTGAAACACTGGTAAGTTCACTCAGCTGTGTAGTTTCCATTTGTCTCTCTGTTTCCTCCGAAGTAAATATATTCTTTTCTTAAGACTTAAACCAAGGAGAAATTTTTCATGCCTCCTAAAGTTAGTTTTTGGGGAAGACTAAGGAAATAATGAGAAATACTAACGGGGCAGAGTGGAAGATGGTCACCTTTTTTTTTTTATTATGGTGGTAGATGTTTTGAGGTACACTGTTTGAATCTGTTCTTTCGTCTATTTTAGAGTCTGATAAAGAGTCTCCTCCACCGCAACAGACAGTGATACCTAAGGAAGTGACACCAGCCTTGTGCTCACTGATGAGCAGCTATGGCAGTCTTTCAGGGTCAGAGAGTGAGCCAGAAGGTGAGTCATGGCTTCTGTTGGGACACTGAGATGCGTTGGATTTTGTTGTTTTAGCCTTTAGTGTGTGCTGTATGGTAATGTCATCCTGGATGCATATTCTTTATTTGAGCTTCAAATTCCTTTTTCTTTTGACTTAGAGGTAAAGTTAGCATGGGATCAAGGAAAACTGGAGTAAGACAGAAACACATATGCTACTCCAGGAGCAAAAGGCAAAAACCAAAAAAGGAAAGGGAAAATACTGTCTTAGGAAATGAAAGAAAATTCTAAAAGAAATAGCAAAAGCTCATTTTAATTTATTCTCTGCTCTGAAGAACCTTCATTATAACATTTATAATACTGTTACTGGGTAAAGAGAGATGCTTTATGATAAAGAATAATACATTTTAAAAATGCATATAAAATTGTTCTTTATGCAGCACATTTACATAAATTATCTCATTTGGAAAATACAGCAGCTCTACTTGTGGTTGCATTAACCTGTATGTTTTAAAGGTTGGAAGAAAGGAATCTTGAAGAATTTTCCTCAGAAGTCAGAAATGGTTAAGATACCCATCTTACCTTTGAAGACAGAGATGATAACATGTCGGACATTACTACGGAGTTTAGGGCCCCCTACCAGAGCCGTTAAATAGGCTGCTGATCTGATGCATATGACACAATGTAATCCAAGGCTTGAATACATTATCTAGCTTATGTTTAATGAGTAAGCCTCAGTCCTATTACGGAAGCCTGGCACTGCATGGTAATTTTTATATGTGTATCAGAAGAAAGGTAATCAGAGTAGGAGCTGTACAAGAATAAGACTAAGTATCCGAAAGTATTTCTATGGAATGAAGAGAAGATCTGCGTTAGAGGAAGGCAGCACTTTAATGTTGACTAGGCTGGAGGTAATCAGTATTTGTGTAGTCTGAGGAGTGGTTGGGCTTTAATCTGTAATACACAGTTTATATCTGTATTCATGTTTTTAATGGGCTGTGGCTTACTCTGGTAGCTTGTCAAAAGCTACTTGAATTTTGAAATAGAAACTACTTTGGCTTTCTCAGCATATTCCTTAACAGACGGTTGCCTTGTTATTTTTTTTTTAATTGTAAGAAAAACAATATTTCTTACTCCTGTTTCCCATATACTGATAGGAAGGAGTTACTCTTTCAACACATATTACATTTCCTACGTATCAGCTATATTTATAACAAGTGATAAAAAAGAAAACTATCACCAGATTACAGGATCCCATAAAAACAAGGTGAACTAATGCTTTATTCTGTCTCTTAAAATGAAACATTTGTACTTTTTATATCCATGTCTTCATTTTGAGGCTGCCACCATATTTTAACTTGGAAGAAGGAAGGGAAACAATGAATCTTTGAGGTCGTGCCTTCATTTAATAGAACCTTAAGCTTAGAGAAAAAGTTTGCCATGCTAGTATGTGGCAGAGTGATTAAAATCTAGGTTAGGGGACTTGAAATTTTATCTAAAACAGCTAACTATATTGCCTTCCCTTACAGTCCTTTTTAGGGTGGTATTTACTGTTTTTCTGAATAGTGTTACTTAATTTTTTCTTTTGTAGATAACAGAGGATATAATCTAATAAAATTTATATTTGATTTCATGTGAATTCATTTTGCTGCTTCTGTAAAATTTCCTGCTTGAAGCAGAAAGCCCTTGCTTCATAGTCCCTAGATCCTAAAAATTATTTTAAGACTCACATAGTCTTAAAATTATTATCCGACATCATTACTTGTTAATTTTACTATTACTAATGATTTTTAAACTTTAATAATTAATTTCCAATAATCCTTAAATGTTATTATATATATTTTGAGTTCAGCTTTATTAAGCCATCTAGTCATCTAGTTAGAAAATCACTATCTTTTAAGTATTAATTCTGGCCTCTAGGATGCTATAAATAAGGAAAGAGTCCCTCATGACTAAAGCAAAGGAAAAGGTTATATTCATACCTAGGGATCTTTAAAACATGAATGCAGAATCTTTAATACATGAATAAGAAATAAAATTCCAGTGAGAAGTATATCCAGGTAGGTTGGTCGGCTGTCAGTTCTGGTCTGCAGCTTCCTAAAATGGTGGTTTAACTCTGATGAGGAGACCTTCACACTGAAAACTAATTCAAAGGCCACAAACTGCAGAATAATTTTAGTTTGGAAGAACCGAATGGCAGTGTTTAAATTGTATTTGAATTGATGAACACTACATTGATATCTGATGTTTAGCTGGAAAACATAAACCTCAAGAAAGAGAAGAATATAAATGATCCCAATTCTTCTTCCTTTAGTAGAAAATTGACAGTTTATATGTGATTCATTTGCCTTTTGTGTTCCTGGGTTAATGATCAGTACCCGAAGGGGTACCAATTGCAAGCGTCAGGTTCTTTTACTATGTTTCTGGCAGGTGGCTGTAAGGCAGGATTCCAACTACCCTCTTCATTGTATTTCTTTTTTGGGGGGAGGGTACCAGGGATCGAACTCATGACTGAGCACTTGCAAGGCAGGCACTTAGCCACTGAGCTAAATCCCCAGCCCTCCTCCTCATTGTATTTGATTGATTTGCTAAAGCAGTTCATAGTACTCAAGACAGCAATCAAATTTATTGGTTTAGCTGAGCTAAAGATGGCAGATTAGATGGCAGATTAGTAAGCAGCAAAACACAGAGCCTCCCTGAGAGAAACAACTCAAATGCTGGAATAAAACATCCTGGAGAGAACCAGACAGAGGGAGATGGATCCTCTCAACTCAGAAGAAACGAAAGGGAAAAGATCTGGTCAAATGCGAAGTCGTGGAGCTACTATCTGAGGAGCTCAGATTTGTGGCCACAGTGCTCTCGCTGGAGCTGCCCAAACTTGTGATTGCGTCATGCTCACTGCCAGAGCCGCAGTCGCGCTGAACTCGGGATTGATGAGTCCAGCGAGAATGGGAGTCAGCATGGAGACCTGCACTAACCCGCAGTGAATGCTCAGAAGAAGACCCTCCCACTGGAAGGGGCAACCAGCTGGGCAACGTGTTGGAATCGGGCAGGACGGGCATGAACAAGGAACAGCAATGAATTCAGTTGGTTGCTCCCTACCCAGAGTAGATCAGTGGGATTTGCTTGGCTTGGGTCACGCTCCTGGCTGGGATGCAATGAGTTGTCCTTAACCGATTCCCTACTGGGGCACACACTAATGTGATGAAGGCCCGGGCTGGTTGACTGGTTCAGAGGGGAGGGGCCAGCATGTGCTGCCCCTGGTTGCACCTCAATGACCAACAGCAAACCTGAGAGGGCAGAAATCCCTAGCTAGCATGCTTAGAAGAACCATAACCAGCAAGGAAAGGGGCTAGGACCTTCACTGTACACCTGTATAGAAGGAACCAAAAACATGACAAGAGAAAGAAATAAGAAAAAGCCCCCACACCCCAACTCTGCAAATATTGATCCAGAAGAGGTAAATACAGCAGAGATTGAGGGCAGCAAACATACAATATCAGACATGGCATCAGCGAACACAAAGAGATATCTTCGTGACATCATAGACGAGCTCAAAACTGAAATATTAATTCAAGTAAAGCAAGATATAAGCAGATTAATAAAAGAAATGCTGGACTGGGGATTTAGCTCAGCAGCATAAGTACCTGCTTTCCAAGCAAGTGGTCATGAGTTCGATCCCCCCGGTACCAAAAAAAGAAAAAGATAACATAAAAATAAAAGAAAAGCTAAGCACCTTTCAAGAAGACACAGAAGAATGGAGGAACACAAAAAAGGAGAGAAACATTCGATGAAGAATATAAAGAAAACCTAGAATACATGAAACATATTCAAGGAGATTACCAGGAGGAGATTACCAGGAAATTAAAAACTCCCATCGAAAGCTGGGAAAATTGCCTGACAGAAAAGAGATAGATTATTAAATTTATTGGTTTATTACAAAGGATATTACAGGCAATACTAGTGAACACTAGGTGAAGAAATTGATAGGGCAAAATATAGGAAAAGGTGCAGAACTTCTATCTGATCCCTTCACCCTCCACATGTTTAGCTGTCTAGAAGCCTTTTGAACTGTGTCTTTTGGTTTTTCATGGTGGCTTCATAACACAGGCATGATTTTCATTAGCCATTAGCCACTGATCAGTTTAAGCGTCAGCCCCTCTCTCCTTCCTGGAAGTCGATGGCAGTGAGGAGGGCTGAAAATTCCAGCCCATAATCTTGTCTTAGCCTTGTCATGACCAGTCCCCCTCCCCGCCCTGAAGTTACTGGGGCTGCCAGCCAGCCAGGGTATGTGTGGTATCTTCTTCCATCCTTTTACTTTATGACAGCCTTCTACTTGGTGTGGTTCTGTGACAGCTGAGATTTCATCTTAGTTCAAACTGTGTAAGGCAAGGACTGCTTGTGTTTTAATTTAGTTTCTTATCAGATCTTGCTCTTCTTTCCTGTGTCACCTCTGCCTTTTAAGTGAGGTGTTTAGACCCTTTATATATAATATATTTATTGATATGGTTGATTTTGTTTGCTTCATCTTATTTTTGTTTCATTTTGCTTTCTTTAGGGTTATTCTGTGTTTTTAAAGCAGTGCAAATATAAATTTGTAAGGTATTCCACTTTGTTTTGTTTGGTCTAGGGTTTGTAGTAAGGAACTTTAATTCATCACAGTGTGCTTTCAAATTACATTATTTACTTCACATATACGATAATTTAAAGAATTTTTCAGCAGTTTCATACTGTTAGGTAGATTTTATTTCTAACTTCTATAGATATTATAAACCCTACCTCATTGTTAATATTAGCTTTAAATTCTTTTCAAATAATAGAAAAATACATTTTGTGTTTATCCAGATGTGTACTGTTTCTTTCATCTGTCATTCCTTTGTGTTACTTCCAAGTTCCATCTGGTATTATTTCCTTCCCTGGAATCACTTTCTGTAGCTCTTTGTCGTAGTCTCAATTCTTGGAAGTTATAGTTCCCAAGTTGAAAAATATTAGGATACATAATCTCCTAATTTGAAAAAAATATTAGAGCTGCAAAACTATTTGTAGTTGAAAGTTATTAAGTAGCCAGGATTTCTGTTCTTTCTCAAAGTTTTGTTTCTGTTTGTTTTTCATTATACTTAGAAACTCCCATCAAGACTGAAGCAGACTTTCGGGCGGAAAACCAGGTCGTTCCAGCAGAGAACCAGATAAATAGCATTGCTCCTAAGAGTCCAGGACAAGATGTTAAAGCTACTGTTAGAAATTTCTCAAAAGTCAAGTGTGAAAACCAACAAAAAGGTTTTAAAAAGACAAACCCAAAGAGGAAAAAAGATTATCCCAGCTATCAAACATTATTTGAACCAAGAACACATCATCCATATCTCCTGGAAATGGTAAATGATTTTTCATTGTGCTAAGTTGTTTGTATTTTTATGTTATAATGATGGTGCCACTGGGGTTTTGTTGGTGTGTTTTCAGGTTACCAGAATCATATGACCTTTGAAGACTGTCTGTGTCTCTTAATTCTAAAGCTGCATTTGGCTTACAACTGGTGTTCAGTAAATGTGGAATAATTGCACTTTTCAAAACTTACTAATATTTTAAAAAACAAATGTCTACTGAAAACCAGAAAATGATAAGAGAGAAAATATCTAGAGTTTTCTGACATTTCTGATTTCCTATGCTTGGAGATCATCTTTGCTTTTTCTCTATCTTTATTTATGTGTATTTATTTTGTGCATTGTTTGCTTAGTAGCATTGTATGCTCAAAATGGTATCTTCAAGTAGTGAAGAGAAAGCAATGTGTCCTTTCTAAGATATGGAAAGAAAGCTGTCTTGGTTACTTTTCTCATTGCTGGGACAAAATTCTCAACACCCAAAGTTAGGGAAGGGAAAGATTTAGCTCACAGTTCATAGAGCTTTCAGTCCATTTGGCTCCAAGACAAAGTGGCATGTGGCAGAGGACAGCACAAGCAACATGAGCAAAAAAGGAGGAGCATGAAGAGAAGACTCTTTCTGTCCCGTATATTGTGTGCAGGCCGTACCCCCTTGGGTATGGCACTCACACCCATAATCTCTGCATTGGACCACAAGTCATTCACAAACTCTAGGGCCGAGGATTTAGCTCAGCGGCATAAAAAAAAAAAAACCTGGCAAATGCAAGGTCATGAGTTCAATCCCTGGCACAAAAAAAACCCCAAAACGTTAGAAGCCCGCCTCCCTGACTGCGTGGAGCTTTGGGAGGACATCCATACTCAAATCATAACAAAAGCTATTCTAAGATTATTTTCATTTCTAAGAGTAGTAAAAAATTCCACATTTTTAATGGAGTTGTAAAAGCTTGCCATTCTATGAAAAGTTTGTTTTATATTTACCATCCAGGTAAGTGTTTATGGCTATAGCTAACCTATTCTGTAGCCTTAGTATGAGATATTACATATAGATAGAGTTGCTTCTTATTAAGGTGGACCTAAAATATGCTTATTTTTTAAATATCAGTATTATATATAGTAAATTGCATTTTAAAAATATTTACCTTATTCATGATTAATTATCTTTCTGTTGAAAATGTTTCTGAGCTATATTAATCATGTCAGAAATAAAAATAAATTCCATCTTGGCAAATCACATATTTTCCTCTGATTATGTACTTACCCTAAATACCAGGGATTTTAGCTTTCTTTCAATAAAATAAGCACAAAAGTAGCAAATTATGGAAGTCAAGAAATTTTAAAAAAACTTGCTCTCAGTGTTTCCATATTTATTATAACTACTTACCACTTTCTATACCACATATAGATTTGGGATTTTATTATTATTAACTATTGTTTTTATTAGTTTTTTGAGAGAATCTTGCTATGTTGCTCAGGTTGGCCCTGAAGCAACCCTTCTGCTTTAGCCTCCTGAATAGCTGAAACTTAGGTGTGAGCTACTGCAACTGACTGAGGAATCTTCTTTGACATGGTTGTTAGATTAAAGCATTGAAGACGTTTAAATCTGTTTTCTTGTCCTTTGCTAGATACTCCAAAGAGAACCCTAAATAAGAATGTGCTGTTTTAAAAGCTAGATAGTATTTTTATAAGTTAAAAGGAAGAAATGTTCTTTAATTATTTTTAGCAAAATAAGAATTCTAAAACCCATTTCTTACTGTTCTTCTTTATATGAGAAGATACATTTAATATTTTAGATTGTTTTTCCTACATATATTTTTTAACCAGCTAATCTTTCTTAAAATTTTTTTTTTTAGCTTCTAGCTCCGGACATTCGACATGAAAGAAATGTGATTTTGCAATGTGTTAGATACATCATCAAAAATGATTTTTTTGGACTCAATACAAATTCTGCAAAAACTAAAGATGTATAATTGCCATCAATTTCAGCACATAAATGAAAAATTATAAAAATACCATCCTCAAGTTAGTGAAAGAAAACCAAAAATGATTTTTTTCTCAAAACTGGATTAGTAATTAAACTGTAAGCCTCATAAAGTAATTATGTTGAATTTTCTAGTCTTTTCTTTGATTCTATGCAAATAAATGCAAGACTGATTTTTTTAAAGACTATGTATTACTGGGATTGTATATATTATTTGCTGGGAGAATTTCTGTTTTTATTTGTATTCATTTTTACACATTATTCTCAGGTAGGAAGTTTGTTGTACCAGTTGAGAATTGAAAATATTGGTTTAGTAATAAGACAGTTTTTAAATGCTTAATTCAGCTAAACAAAATGAAACAGACATACATTGTGGTTTCAATGCAGAAGATCTCTTTAACTGTAGCAAAGATAATAATTTAAATGAACTGAATCAAATTAACATAGCCAGAATTCTTAAAAGTAAAATTTTGTTTGTACTAGCTCTACTTGCATAGTTCAATTATTGAATGCTTGAAGTATTAATGTATCCTCTGTGTATGTTTAAATATGACTGGGGTGCTTTTTGAAAATATAGTTCAGAATCATATCTTTGTTTTTCTGTGAAAAACTAAAGTAGTATTCTTAATGAGATTCAACTCATTTCTTATAGCAAAAAGAGTAGTTTGTGAAATAATGTGAATAATTATCTCTTTTAGGGTTTAGTTAAAATTCATCTTACAAGGTAGTAATTGAACCCTGTAAATTTTTTTAAAGTTAATGAAAGTTGCTGAGATTTTTTTTTTGTCTATAATACTAGGCAAGTTGATCTTATGTTGTAGTATTTTGCTACCTATAACTATAGCTCTACCTTTTTGACATATAGCTAAAGGGAGCTAGGTTTTTAAAAGCCGGATTATTGGGCTTGGGATTTAGCTCAGCAGCATTAAGTGCCTGCCGTGTAAGTGCATGGTTGTGCGTTCAATCCCTGGTACCCAAAAAAAAAAAAAAAAAAAAAAAAAAAAAGTTAAAAACCAGATTATTGTTTTAGTTGAAAAATTAGTTTTATCAGACATTGTAATTACTGAAGTTCATTCATTTTGCCTGCAAGAAAAGGTAGGAGAGCTACAGTAGATCTTGCTTTATATTGGTATGGTTTTCTCTAGAATCCTAGAGTGCCTGGCATGTGGCACTAGGAAAGTCACAGATTAAGATTTGTGTGTAGTCATTGTTTTCCAACCTTGTAATCACCTTTAATAACTTTTTTACTCTGTTTCATTCTACTCCAGTAAGCCCCAAATTTTGGAAATCATTTGCCCAGTACACTAATTAAAACAGTTTATCTAATACTGTTGAGAGCTTACTTCTGTGCCTCTATTGTACCTGCATTAAAGGTATAAAACTATAAGGCCTTGCCTGATTTCAAAGAACTCAGTTCAGTTTTCATGTATTCATTAAAGTGATACCCAAACCAATACATCTCATCAGGATGAAGTTAACTCATGCTACTCTGATGCAATATGATGCAATCTGCAGTTTTATCACTAGTTATGCAGGTCCCACAGGCTTAAAGTTTACAACTGCATCCACAGATTCCTGGACTACTTCATGGCCCACCACATCAGGAATGGGCTTTAAGGTGCTTTAATGTATACTGTATAAACAGCTTTATTTCCAATTATCTCTTGTTTTCTAATAAATGTGTTTAAGACTGAAAATGATTCTCTGAGTATTGCCTTGACTTTGTCTGATAGTCTTTGGCTGGGGAGACTATTTCTCATGAGTAATTTCATTATATTTAACCTAGGAGTTGCTTAAAAGTATGTTTAAATTTTCCAATTGGATAGAATATAGCCTCTGTAGTTTCTATACTAGGGAATATGTGGTCAATATTTGTAAATATTCTGAATTTTAAAGGTAGGGTACTTTGATTTGGTGACAAGCTTGTTTAATTGCTTAAACTTGTACTTCTATCTTATTGCTAATTTTATTTATTTCAAAGATACGAAAGTATCTTATGATTGTTTACAAGTTGTACCTTTTATAAGTAATGCTCTTCTTTGTTCTAAAGTAATTTCAAGGCCAGTCTCAATGACATAGTGAGATCCTGTCTCCAAATCAAACGAGCAAACAAAAACAAAACCAAAAAAGTAAACATTAAAAAAACCCCCAACTATTGGCATTCTGATATTGCTCTTCCTTGTATTCCTTCTCTCTGGGGATTCTGTAGTTATTTCTAAATACATTATTTAAAAGGATTTGGAATAAAAGAAGAAAGGTTGGTAAATTTTAATACAGATTTAACAACCTTTTCCTACAAGTATTTCTGAATTTGTAGAGCAGTAATTTTTATTTAAAACTGTTTTATCCTTTTAATGGCTTTTTATAAAAGCATGTTCATTTTGGAAAATTTCAAACAAGTATTTAAAGTATGTGTTCCTCCCCCAACCAGCATATGCCTTCAGCACTGTATTCGTCCTGCTTTCATTTCAGTGCAGTGTACCCATTTCTCTCCACCTGCCCTGCTCTGCCTGAGATGATTTCGCCCTCATATAGTATGTTTCTCTAGAGGACAAAGGGTTTTTTGTTGCTGTTGTCATTTTGTGTTTTTTTTTTTTTTTTTTAATCGATACCAGGGATTGAACTCAGGACTGTGCACTTGCAAGGCAGGTGCTTATGCCACTGAGCTAAATCCCCAGCCCCTTGTTTTGTGTTTTTGAGACAGGGTTTCACCATGTAGTTCAGGCTGGCCTCAGACTCACTCTGTAGCCCAGGCTGGCCTTGAATTCTCAGCAATCCTTCCTCTGCTTCCCAAGCGCTGGAACCACAGGTGTTTGCCACCATGCCTAGAATGGCTTTTCTTTTCTTTTTTTAACTACCAAATCTTTAAGAACTTATAATTGCTTGATAATGTCAACCATCCAAACAAACTAAATTCTCTTAACTTTTTAAGATCACATAGTAGAAATCATCCGGTAGCATTTTGTACCTTTGTATATGGGAAGAACTGTATTTGGACATATTTAAAAGCAGAACTTATTCATTTTATTTCCCGACCCTGTCACCTTCCTCTTCTCCATTAAATGATAGACATTTTAAATTGTGAAACGAGGATGAGAGGCTGGCTGGCTGCGTATTTTGATTTCTACGTGAGAGTGGAGAGAGTTCGCTGGCTGCAGCTGGAGTCCAGCAGATTAGGAGTGTGGAGGTGAGGGGAGCCGCACTGAGGAGCAGCTTAGAGCTGTTTCTCTTGTGATGGTCTTTGAAACTGCACAGCACATACTTTTATTTTGTTTTTCAATGCTAGGCTCTTTGTCCCTTTGTTCCTGACGAGTAAGCCTGGGACAGACGGAATGGTCACTCTGGGAGAGAAGCCAGGGAACTGGAGGAACAACTGTTTTAGGGGCCAGACTTGCTCCAGCACTGACACCTATGGCATAACGGGACTTCTCACGGGAAGTCAGACGGGCACACAGTGACAGCTGCCTCCAAGTTGAGAAAAGAGAAGATGGGCAAATGGGAATGAATGAATGAAATAGTGAAGGTGACACTCAGAATGTACCGAGGCCCCCAAATAGAGAATGTAGAGCTGTTGCTCTACAGGCACCGTTTAGAGGTCCCTTTCCCATCCTTGTCAGGTTCCAGGAGGTTTGTATTTGTATCCCATGGAAAAGTTACTGGAATTCTAGTGAGTTAATTCCAGTCTACCACTTCCAGTGCAACCCAAGGCGGGAAAGACACTAAGGCATAGTTATGGGGAGCCTAGGGGGTCCCAAGTCCAGGCAAATTGGTGGTTTGCCAGAACAGAGGCCACAACCCAGGACTCAACCCAGGTTTTATTAATTCTCCATGAGGGGAGTGGCTGGGGATGGTGGGGGTGACAAAGTGACAGGGAATACATGATTGTGTGAGCTGGGCTAGGTAGGGGGAGGGCAAGAAATGCAGAGAGTAATCTGCATGACACAACTGAAGTAGTATCTAATATTTTGGGGTTGGTGCTTAGGTTCGATGTGCAATTTTTTTTTTTTTTTTCCCTGATAAGGCGTAGCCTCTTTCTTGAGGCTGAGTCCCAGCAGACAGCATGGAATACAGCTCTCCATCCTGCCTGGTTCAACCATGTTTTTCTGGAAGTCACAGGGCAAGGAAACAGAGACTTCAAAGATTACACATCAGTTCCTTAGCCAGCCCATTTTATACTGCTTAATGCCAGTTGAAAGGACAAAGAAATAGCCTAGCCAGCTCTGTACCTATCAATACCTGGACAGGGCCAAGTTTGTCCAAAATGAAGACAATTGCTCTTTCAAGGAGAGTTGTCTGGGTGGGTCGTGAGAGCGCTGCATGCTATGTGATACCAGGAGTGAAAGCTTGGATCACTTCTTGGTTCTTCTCATAAGGAAAGGGACAAATGTCTCCTATTGATCTTCTGTAGCCAGTCAATTTAAATCAGTCTGTGTACATTCAGGAGAAAGTATAATGTCTTCACTTGATTTCTGTAGGCTTTTTTTTTTTTTTTTATGATTTCGGAATTCCAATCTGCAAATCCTCAGCTCTAGTTATTAGTGGGTAATGCTAGGGTTTTCTGGCACAATAGAGAATGAAACAGAAAGAAAAAGTGGTCTTTATTGAGGACGTGGAGAGAAGTGCACCACTTGTGGGGTTGGGCATTCTCCTCTGCCAGAAACAAACATGGTGGGAGGTTTTATGACTTCTGACCAGAAGCAGCATTTGGGACAGGCATTGATGACACGTGAGGAACTGATTGGAATTCTTGCACACATGGGAAAGGAAAGAGGAAGTTATAATCAGGGCTAAAGGGAAGGAGGAGGAAGTAGCCATTAGGGTTAGTGTTGTCCTTGCTTTGACCCTCCACCATGTTAGACCACTGCCATAGTGTCCACTAATTTATGCTAGGGCAGAAACCTTTCAGGTAGTGAATGCCACCATTTCTTGGTCATAAAACACTGCTGTTAAGCATCTATATGCTTTTCTGATTATTTGTTTTTATTTAGTTTTTAAGGCTAAGTTACAAACTTTATATTTCATCAGTTTTCCATAAATGTCCTTTACAAAGATGAAATATGGTATACCACATTGTACTTAGTCTCATCGTTTTTAGTTTAGGACTTTTTTTGTCTATGCTATTATAAAAACACAATTCAGTAGTACATAAATGAAAAAGTGAAATTTGTTCTACTCAATCTTATTCCCTTCACATCATCTCCCCTGAGATACTATTATTAATGGTCTGTATTTTTAGACTTTATATATATATATATATATATATATATATATATATATATAATTATTTAAATACAATAGTCTTCCTAGACATTACTTTGCAGTTTTTTCTACTGAACAGTATCTCATGAGTATTTGTACTTGTGAATGTAAATGCATGTGTGCATATATGCATGTATGTGTGTACATATTTTTTCTTTTTTGTGTTTTTGTGGCACTGGGGAGTGAACCTAGGACCTCTGAATTGAACTACATCTTCAGCCCTTTTTATTTTTTATACAAGGTATTCTTAAATTTTCCAAGCTGGCCTCCAGTGTTGATTCCTCCTGCTTCAGCCTCTTGAATAGCTGCAATTGCAAGTGTGCACCACCTATGAAAAAATGTTTACAATTTTTCTCTAATGTTAATGGAACTGTAGTGAATAGTGCTGAATACACAGTGAAATACAATGTATGCCTGCATGTGTGCATGTCTGAATATTTTTGTACCATAGTCTTAAAAGTCAAGAGACCTTTAAAGACTTACCAAATTATACTTTTTTAATTTTAAAATCTTTAATTTTAATTTTAACAAAACAATAAAGCCAAACAAAACAAAACAGTGAAAGCAATACAGGACTTCAAAAGAAGATAATAGGGAATCGACAATGGCTACCATAATATATCTAGTTATCTTCAAGATAGCTGTCCAGATCATCAGACATAATAAAACAAAACAGAATAAAACAAAACAAAAAAATGAAAACAATACCAGAGTTCACAAGATAGTGAACATTAACAATGGCTACCACAATGCATCTATTTATCTTAAAAATAGCTGCCTAAACCATCAGACATAGGCATGTAAAATTAAACAAATAATACAAGAACCTAGCTGAAATTTCAGGTGTGTGACCTCTAATCTCTACTATGTCTGGGTCTCCTAAACTTGTTCTGTGTGGGCCAAAGTTCTGAGATGCTATTTTGCTCCTCCGTCTTCACATTTTCCTGTTTCTCTGAATTAACCTATGGCTGCATCCTGAGTGCTTTCTGCACTGGGTATTAATCCCTCAGTAGAGGAGACTGGGCAAGGCCCCTGAGTTCCTCTGACCCAGGGTTCCTGGAGTGGTGGGGAGGAGTGGGGTGGTGGTTCATCCATGCCCTATCCCGTGGCAGCCGTGGCTTTTATGGGCCTTGTTGGGCTCACCAGGTCATTGGGCAGGTCGCTGGAGCAGAGCCTCAGGGTGTGGAAGAATACTGTATCTTTCTTACTCATTCTGTCGCTGATGGGCTAGCTACTATTGTTCTTTTCTGGGTTTCGATCTCATGTAGCATTGTTTTCTCTCCTTTGACTTTCAGTATATGAATTTCCTTTTGAGTTAAATGTGTTTCTGGTATACAGCATATTGATGGATTTTGTTTCTTGATACACTCTGCCTATGTTTCTTTTTATTTGTGAATTGAGGCCATTTATATTAATGGTTATGACCAATATGTATTGG